AGGCAAAGGGACCAGCAGATGGTGTAATGGTTACATCGCTGGACGCCCACGTAGTCAACCATGGTTTGAGTCCTGGACCCTGTGACTTGGATTTCGTGCTGGATATTTATGTGTGTGTGCCCAAACTCCTGAGAGGAGAATGGAGAAAGGATTGCAGTGTGGCCATCCCCCCTGGGGGTGATTTCTTGCTTTCTGTCCCTCTGTCTGTCTCTCGCTGTCTGGCAGTGCACATGCCCTATAGCAAAAATCTCTCTTAAAAACAAAAACTAAAAAAAACTAAAAACACCTAAGGCAAAGAAATAAAGCAAAGAAAGAGAGTACGAGGACTCCCCCCCCTCCCCCCCGGCCAGGGCACAAACATACCAAGCCAAATGAAAACCCATCTCCAAACTTCCTACTGCAATATTTCTTCCTCAAGGTGGTATATCAGCCCCGAAGTAACTTACTCACAAGTAGAAACTCCACAAAAAAAATTCCCTGTGGGACCAGCAGGTGGCATGGTGATGAAGGTGCTGGATACTCCCACATGGCTGACCATGGTTCCAGTCCTGGAGCTGGTGGCTTGCTTTCTCACTTTCCCTCTCTCTTTCTCTCTCTCTCTCTCTCTGTGTGTGTATGTCTTTTTCTCTGGTCAACTTAAAATAAATGAGTGAGTAAATAAAATTCAATAAATAATCATTAAAAAAAATCCTTGTATTAGGAATCAGTCTAGCACTAACTTCCATTGTAGAAGCATTTTAAACATTTTATCATGAACTCTACTTTTTAAAGGTTATTTATTCTAGAAAATTTCAAGCAGCTGCAAGAGTAGAGAGAACAGTTGAGCAAATTCCCTGAACTCATCACCCAACTGTAACAACCTTTATTTCATAGCCATTCTTGTACATCTGTGCTTTCACTTTCTTCCCGTCCCGCATTAGTTCCCTTTTCAAATTGGTTTTTAAGTAATTTTTATTTAATTTTGTTTATTATTATTATTATTATTTAGTTTGATGAGCGAAAGAGAGTAAGAAAGCAAGTCGCCAGGTCTGGGATTCAAACTGTGGTTGACCCTGTGGGAATTTGGCACCTTAGCCACCATGACACCTGCCAGCTCCTTTAATTGTTTTTTTTTTTTTCTTTTTTTTTTAATTGCCAGAAGGTGCATGTACTTCCCAGAAAGAGACATTCACACAAAGAGAGACAGGGATGGAGGAAGTATTCCACATGGGGCATGGTTATGCCAAAATCCTTTCTCTTCTGTTTTTTCCATCCTGTCGGGATTTGGGGCAGTGTATTTTTCAAGCCGCTGGGACCAGGATTCCAGGTATGTGGCAGGCCTTGTAGGATTTGGCTCCCTTAACCACTAAGCTATGAGGCCAACCTGCATTTCAGGCTATATTTCTGAAGATTATAGTTTATTTAACAGAAACAACCTCAGCACCATTATCATGTTAAAGACATGAATATTAATTAATATCATTATATATCCAATCAATATTCACATTAGCCCAATTTGATGCACTTGGTTTAACTCAGGATCCAAATAAATTCTGTTTGATATAATTAGTTGACTTTTTTTTTTTTTTTAAGAGATATTTTGGTATAGGGTGTGTGTGCTTGCCGGAGAGACAGAGAGAAACAGAGAGACAGAAAGTGAGAAATCAATTCCCAAGGAGATGGCCATGCTGCAATCCTTTCTCCTCTAGTCTCTTCTTGTGATTTTTTTTAAAAATATTTATTTAATTTTATTTATTCATTCATTTATTTTAATTTGACCAGAGGGAGCTACACACAGAGAGAGAGGGAAAGTGAGTAAGCAAGCCACCAGGTCCGGTACTCGAACCGCGGTCGGCCATGTGGGAGTGTCCAGTACCTTAAGCACCACGCCACCTGCTGGTCCCTCCTCTTGTGATTTTGGTCATGTACGCACATGTGCCCAGTGTGAGTTTTAAGTCGCTGGGTCGTGATTTGAACCCTAGTCAACTATGTGGGAGTCCAGCAATGTAACCATTATGCCATCTGCTGGTCCCTGATTTATTTCTTAAATAACTTTATCTCCTAATTTTTTTCCCCTTAGAGTCGTTACTGTTGTTACTGAAGAAGTCAGCTTTGTCCTGTAGCATTATCCACTGGACTCTGCTGGTCGTCCCCTCATGTGTCATTGGTGTTCTTGTAAGTTCCTTCCTAGAGACTTGACCCTTCAAGAATATTTTAGTTACACTTTGGCACATGATTGTATCTAATATACAAGATGCAAATTACTGGTGTGAAGATAAAGGAGCATTACCACCCTGTATGTACCCTGCAGGAAATAAAAAAAAAAAAAAATAAAAATAAAAAATAAAAAAAAAGAGAAAGAAAGTAGATAAATGAAAAAGCTATGCATACATTTCAATTTTAAAAATTATTGCTGAAGGGCACACACACTTGCTGGACAGAGAGAGAGAAAGAGAGGAGGGAGAGGGAAAGTGAGAAGGCATGCTCCATGAGACATAGGCCACCATTCCTTCTCTTCCATTTTCCTTTCGGGAGCTGTCAGGTCTGGGACTTGAACCACTGGTCAACCATAATGTGGGATCCAGCTGCCTTAACAACCAGGCCACAACTGGTCCTCATTTCTTCTTCTTTTTTTTTTTTTTTTGCAACAAAATAAACGTACTTCAATTCCATTCCACGTTTTTGAAATCCTTTGTATAGCCAAGTGCTATGTTGTGTAGGGCCATAGTCCAATTTCTATATAAGGAAACTCAGCTCAGAATTAGGTTGGGTGAAGTCAGGGTGAGAAGTAGGGTCTGGGTATCTCTTGTCCTTATACGTGTAGGGCTACAGAGAGAGGCAGGACTGGGAATGGGTACTCTTGCACAAAAGTGATGAGAGGCGGCCCCTTACTGGCCTCAGTGTCAAGGAGTGGAGGGGACTGTGGGGGAGTCCCGGCCTAGAGGGGAGGAATGTGGACTCAGCATTGCCAGATTTTTGAGTTTTCAGCAGAAGCCAAATATCTGAATGTCTGCGGGAAATCTCTAGATCTCAATATGTTCGCTGTTGGTTCAGATTTCTGAAAAACACGACCTAGGGCAACACAGTGGGTCAAAGCGAATAAATCTGCATCCGGCCACCTGTTCCACGCCATACTGCTAGGACATATATGAACTACTGTCTGGCACCAAAGACCCCGGGAGTCAACTGGCGGAGGTAGCCGTTGCCCTGGCAGGTAGAGAAAGGGAAGGTGAAACAGCTCTGAAAAGACATTAGATGACAATGTTGCAAATCTCAAAAGGTGAAAAAGTATTGAGGCACTGCGAGGAAGAGCTAAATTTCTGAACAGCTAAAGTTCGACAACAAAACAGCCTTCAAGTATTCTTCTCTGGTCCTCCTGACCGAGTGCTTACTGTGCCCAGATGGCATTCCGAGCGTTTTCTAAGTACTTGCAAGTCTCTCATTCATACCTTACCACAACCCTGGGAGAATGTACCACCCGCCATAGTGGCTCTTATATAAAGACTCAGAGAAGTGACGGGGCTCAGATTTGAATCCCAGGGGGCCTCGAAGCCTGCTCACTTACTTAATACCCTATAGGATTGTTCTTCCTTTAGACAGTGCTGCATTCAAGGCATTGAATACTAGGAGCTGGAATTAATTCACTGACTGTGGAGTCCTAACACTTTGTGTTCTACTGACTGGATCTTTTGGTTTTCCTTTCAGGCAGAACTTGATGAGTCTGAACTAATTTACACAGGGACTAAAAATCGTGTGTAGAGAACCAGCTCTGTAACCTAGTGGTTAAGAGAGTAAGAGCCCCCATGGCAGACCAGGGTTTGAATCTCAGCCTCAGAGGCTGGAAAAACACACTGAGGGTGTTGTGTGTGCTCAGAATCCCAGCAGGATGGAGAATTAGGGGCAAAGGGGTTGCATTTGACCATGCCCCACTGGGGGAGCAGTGCTTTCTGCCTCTCGTTGGCTCTCTCCAGTAAGTGCACGTGCTTTGTGGCAATTAAAAAAAAGTGTATGAGAAAATAGAATTGAAGTATGAGTTTATTTTAGTGTAAAATATTTTAAACTCTATGCATAGTTTTTCATAATGTGCATGTATCGCAAGGGGTGTTGTCAGCTGGTGTTTTATATTTCAATTCTTAGTCATTCCTTTCCCAAACAGTTTGTTTATTCTTTACTATTTCAGTAAACAGACATACAACAGAAAAATCAATTTACAAATGAGTATCATTTTTCCTATTTTCAGTTCAACAGGAATGGCAATCATTTAATCTTTAAGGGTTTTTTTTTGTGTATATTTATTTCTTCCATGAGCTAGAGACAGAGAACACCCCCAAAAGGATCTTGATGCTGTGGTTCGCTCCTGGCCTTAGCTAGCCTTGGAGTGTGGGTGCTTCTGGGCTGGCGATTCAGGGAGGTCTCCATATGTGAATCTGGAACCTTCCCACTGGGTCAGCCCTATAGTCTGTGACATTCCACCACTGTGCCACCCCTGAAATAGCAGGATTTTTCAAAATAGATTTATCAATAAGTAACATAATCTTGTTGCTTTTCTGGAAGATGCTATTTCATAGACATTGAATTTAAACTTAACTCAGTCCACCCAATAAGGCTGAGTGTGTGTAGGGTAGGTCAGCCTTTCAGGATATTTGGATTCCGTTCTTTGTGTGAGTAAAGGCAGTTTGTCACAGTTATTTGCAAGACAGTTAATAAGCCTATAGCTTATAGAGATAGTCTTTTTCTCCCTCTCAGGCAGCTCAAGGCTTTCTCCTTGCTGGGTAAGGTGACTGATGAGGGGCACTCCATAGCTTCATTGAGATGAAGGGGTAGGGCAGTTTGGCAGTCATGCAGAGAAAACCCCTGCCCCAGCTCAGAGCATTCTCGCCTTCAATAACTACTCACTGAACTTGAGGACAAAGACCTTTTCTCCCACGGGGCTTCCTCCCTCCTTGTCTAGACATTCTGGAAGCCGTTTCCTAGTTACGGGAGTACAGCAGTGCAGTCCCACAAGCCTGAACTTCAGCCTCCTGCCACCAGTCAGGGGAGTGTCGGTAGACCCAGCTCCTTTGCAGGGAACTGCAGGGAAGCATGAATGTCTTGTTCCCAAGAGGAAGTCATGAATCTTGAAAGAAGTTTCGTAAGAGGACAATGGTGGTTAGAAAGGAACTGAAACATATTTGACTACAGCTGCAGGATCTGGTGCAGTAGCCTCGTTACTTAATTTAAAACAAAGTTTAAATTATGGCAAAATACACATAGCGTAAAATTGACCATCTTAACCATTTCCAGTTGTATGGTTCAGTGCTGTTAAGTACATTCACATTGTTATGCACAAATCTCCGGAAGCTTTTCATCTTGCAATATTCAAACTCTACCCATTAAACAACTCCCCTCTACCCTTCTCCCACCCCTACCCCTGCCCCTGGCAACCACCATTCATTCCACTTTCTGAGTTTGACTCTAGATACTTTACATAAGTGAGATGATAATATATTAGGTTGTCGGAAAAGTCATGATGTAGAAAAACGGAAAAATACATTATGACTTTTCCGATGCCCCAGTATTGTGTGTGTGTGTGTGTGTGTGTGTGTGTGTGTGTGTGACTGGTTTATTTCACTGAGCATCATGTTGACTGTTTAATTTTAAATTGAAAATTCAATGTACTAGACACATTTCTAATGCTTCATAACTTCACCTGGCTAGTGGCTACTGTTTTGATGCAAGTAGAAAATATTTCTATCGTCTCAGAAAGTTCTGTTGGACAGCACTTACACTGAGAACTGGCTGGAGGTGGGGGATCAGGAGGAAAAAAATACGCATTTTATTTTTGTAGCCTGCCAGCTCATGAATAATCTGACTTCTTTTCTCAGAAATTATATGAGCTACATGATGTTTTAGTATTTACGATTTGCACCTTTATCCCAACCTCCAGGCTTCTAATCTCTCCTTCTATAACATGCAGTCTTAAAAATTATTTCAGCTGGAGAATTTAGAGAACATAAATATGCACTACAGACTACCGATAAATGCACTTTAAAATATTCCTTACCAGGACTTCTTAGGAGATGCTGTCAGCTTAACCATTGATGGCAGTTAAATTGGAGGGTTTCATTAATTAGAACTGTTAGTTTATTGCTTACCTGGCAGGAATCCTAATTGGTATTTGCCACAAAAAAGCCTTAGCATTTAAAGCTTTTTCCTTGAAGGAAGTAGGAAAGAAATGTTTATCATACATATACATATACGTACATATGTACATATGAAGAGGTCTTCTTAAAGTTTATGAAAAATGCACATTGCAGAAGACCTATACCTAGATTTCAAATATTTTTTGCACTAAAATAGACTTGAGGAAGTTTTCCATTTTCTACCAACTTTTTGAGGTTGTTTCATTTATACCCAAACTTGAAATTTGAGTTTCTTATATCACCAGTTATCCTTACTATGTGAGATGCATGTCTTCGTTCTTTCTCTCTTTCTTTCTCTCTTTCTTTCTCTCTTTCTTTCTTTCTTTCTTTCTTTCTTTCTTTCTTTCTTTCTTTCTTTCTTTCTTTCAAGAGGTTTTTGCTATAGGGCACATGCGGTCACCAGAAAGACAGAGAGACAGAGAGACAGAAAGCGAGAAATCACCCCCCAGGGGAGATGGTCACGCTGCAATCCCTTCTCCTCCATTCTCCTCTCGGGATCTTGGGCACGCACACACATGCCCGGCATGAGTCTAAGCCACCAGGTCTGGGGCTCGAACCGCAGTCGATTACATAGGAGACCAGTGACATAGCCATTATCCCAACTGCTGGTCCCCTAAAAATGCTTTTTTAAAGAAAATGTTGTTCCTATTCCACTAAATTGATTTCATAACCCAAAAAATGGGCCAAGACATACACTTTGGAAAACACTGCTCTGGACATGCGTGGTTTCAGGTACAGATAACTGCAAGTCCCACCTCCAGGTCCTCATGAGAATGAAAACTATGAACTGATGCCTCAAAATAAACACGTTTTGTAAAATGCCACCGATTATGGCTTTGTTTCCATTTTCTACCAACTTTTTGAGGTTGTTTCATTTATACCCAAACTTGAAATTTGAGTTTCTTATATCACCAGTTATCCTTACTATGTGAGATGCATGTCTTCGTTCTTTCTCTCTTTCTTTCTCTCTTTCTTTCTCTCTTTCTTTCTTTCTTTCTTTCTTTCTTTCTTTCTTTCAAGAGGTTTTTGCTATAGGGCACATGCGGTCACCAGAAAGACAGAGAGACAGAGAGACAGAAAGCGAGAAATCACCCCCCAGGGGAGATGGTCACGCTGCAATCCCTTCTCCTCCATTCTCCTCTCGGGATCTTGGGCACGCACACACATGCCCGGCATGAGTCTAAGCCACCAGGTCTGGGGCTCGAACCGCAGTCGATTACATAGGAGACCAGTGACATAGCCATTATCCCAACTGCTGGTCCCCTAAAAATGCTTTTTTAAAGAAAATGTTGTTCCTATTCCACTAAATTGATTTCATAACCCAAAAAATGGGCCAAGACATACACTTTGGAAAACACTGCTCTGGACATGCGTGGTTTCAGGTACAGATAACTGCAAGTCCCACCTCCAGGTCCTCATGAGAATGAAAACTATGAACTGATGCCTCAAAATAAACACGTTTTGTAAAATGCCACCGATTATGGCTTTGTTTTCGGGTAACCTGTGCTCACTGATTTTAATTCTGGTCTAAGTAGAATGAAGCTATGATAGAAAATCTTTTATCAAATGGTTAAACTCTGTTTTTCAAAGTCAAATATAAGCTACATTTTTTATGCTACTAGTTTTTGTTTTAGGATGTGTGATTGGAAGTTAATTGAATTTTAGTTTTCTTTTTCTTCATGAAGGAGAATATGTATCTCTTAACTTAGGTTATAAAGGAAGAGGAGAAAAATCTTAAAGTCAGTTTCTTATGTCATGCATTAATAATTTAATAGTTTATGAAAGTCCTGGAAACAAAGATTTCAAAATGTTTATTATATAGTTTATAGATGAGGTAATTTGTCACTTAAAAAAAACAATTTCTTTAACCTATGAGCCAGCTGGTGGCATGATGGTTAAGGTGGCTGGATCCCACACGGCCAGCTGTGAGGTTCGAATCCCATACAAGTAATAGAACTACATTGCAGTTTTCTTGATTCACTTCCTGAAGAATTTCATCTGAGGGGCCTGAGAATACTGGCTTCCTGACTGACTTTGTAAGTGGACAGTTCTGGGAGGCCTGCTATTATTTTTGTAAATAATAGTCATGAAGAGTCGTGTACTTTTGGAGTAACTTTTAATTGGGCAAGCTATGAGAAAAATAAAAGAAAGTATCAAAGAATAACTATAGTAACACTGAATAAACAATTTTAAAAAAATAATTATTTATTTTATTTTATTTATTCATTCACTTATTTTTTAATTTGACCAGAGAGAGACACAGAGATAGAGGGAAAGTGAGAAAACAAGCCACCAGGTCCAGGACTCGAACCGTGGTCAGCTATGTGAGAGTATCTAGCATGTTAACCACCATACCACCTGCTGGTCCCTGAATAAACAATTTTTATCCTAGCTCATGTAAGAATTTTACCCTAACTCATGTAAGAATTTTCCCCTTTTGGGGGCCAACTGGTGGCATGGTAGTTAAGGAGACTGAATTCCACGTGGTTGACTGCATGGTTTGACTGGGCGGCTTGGAAAATGCTGTAGGCGTATGTGCGTGTGTGCTCACAATCCCAAGAGGAGAATAAAGCAGAAGAGATTGTGGTGTGGCCACTTCCACTGGGCGTTGCTTTCTTACCCACCCTGTACCCTGTGAGTGGATGTACCCTATGGCAAAATTTTTAATAAATTTAGCTACTTTTGAAATTTCAGATGTGTCAAAATATAGAATTAAAATAAAATTCTTTCCCTTAAAATAAAATCCCTAAATTAGTTATAGCCCTTGGATTTTAATAATTTTTTTTTTTGGTATTAGAGAAGTAAAATTACTTGCAAAGAGCTCTGTGGCTTGGTGGTTAAAGAGCTGGATCCCCGTGGCTAACTGTCTGAATCCTGGACTTAGTGTCTTGAAAAACATGCCGTGAGTGTATTTGTGTGTGTGTGCACGTGCACGCACGCACTTCAAATCCTAAGAAGATGGGAAAATGGAGGCGGAGGGATTGTGGTGTGTCCCTGTCTCATTGGGGGTGGGCTTTCTCTCTGGCAAGCACATGCACCCTCTGGCAAATTAAAAATAAACAAACAAATAAAAAAATAAATAATAAAATACTTATGGGAAAGTTGGACATTAAAGAGATAGAAACAAGAAATTAAATTTCTGAGTTACTCCTGTTAATAATTTGGGCACATTTTCTGAGCAAGTATTTTTATGCAAGTCTTTTTCTATGCATAATTTTACATACGTCAGAGAATCTGTTTTGCCATCTCACCCTCAAACCAATGAAAAACTCTTCTCAAGTATGTATTTAATGAGTTTATACTACAGTATTCCACCAAATGGATGTAGCCTACACTTTTTAGCCATTTCTCTGATGCGGGACAAGTAAATTTCAGTTAAGTTTTTCACTGACATAAACACCAGTGTGATGAACCTTTTTGTGCAGACTCCTCGCCATATTCCTGATTATTTCCTCCAGGTAGAGTTGTCGAAATGGAATGAGAATGCAGGGCACACATGTGCTTGAATCCCGGCCTGGCTGAAGCTGGAGACTGACTGTGGTGTGAAGATTCTATTAGGAATACTGTCTCCCTTTCTTTTGTTCCCCTCTCTCTTTCTCTCTGTCTTTCTCACTCATGGAACAAATGAATATTTATATATATATAAAACAAAAAGAAATGAATGACTTGTCAGTCCTTTCTTTTGCATCAATTGTGTGGTCTCTTTATGACAGCTGACTTCCTCGAAGTTGTCCATAGGCAATTTCTTCATTTCCTATCTTAAAAGCCTTCAGTAGCTTTAGTGTTCATTATGAAATAAGCACCTCAGTGTGACCTTCAAGGCACAAGGTGAACATGCCTGTTTTCTGCCTTTCTGAATCTCTTCTCCACTCTTTTTGGCCTCTGCATTGGCTTTTTAATTCATGGACTCCCCACCCTTTACCTCGCCACAGGACCTTCAAACCTATGTGTCCTCTCTCTGTAACATTCTTCCTCTCCTCACTCATCTTTCTCTTTTGGAATAAGAAATCA